TGGACATTAAAGCTGATGCAAAATGGCAACGAGGAGTAATCCAGCGCACATAAACGCTGTAAGTGAAGAAATTATGAAAGCGAAGTCTGTATGGGATTGAAGACCTCGTATTTTAGTGGCCAGTCTTGCATAATCAATCATGCGGTATTTGGCTACATGTGGGGAGGAAACAAACTACACAGCAAGGAGCTTCAGTGCCAGGGAAAGGAGCTGGAGTGACTGAGGGCACCCACTGTGCTGCGGTCAGAGTGAGGAGGGGGCAGCCCCTCTGTCAGCAGAGATGGATGAGGCCGAGGCAGAGTGAAATGAAACGTCTGGCGCGGCTGTGAGCGGGGCCTCACCTGGGACAGGTGCTTACTGTGATGTATGTGTGTGTGAACAGTGCCAGGTGGAGAGCGACAACAGCTCTCTGCAGTCTATGTGCATTTCTTTCCTTCTCCCTCTCCCTCTCGCTCTCTCACTTTCTCTTTCCCCTCCAACAGAAATACATAACTCTCTTGCTTTTATTTTAGTCTCTTTCCTTCTTGTGGACTTTAATTCTTTTCTCAACTCTGTCTTTATACATCTTCCAGCGTCCCATTTCAGACCTTCAGCTTCCATTTATCATTTATCAGGAAGGCAGCACCCACAATAATGTCATCCATCAAATGTCCTTCCCTGTGGCCTCTTGTATATATTTATAAGATACCGCCTCATACTGCATATAGCCTTGTGCAGCTGAGAAATGTTTGCATTCGCAACATTAGGATGGTTACGTTTTTGAAGAATAGCCTTCAGTTTGGAATTCCAAAATAAAATGGCCAGTATAGCACATTCAGCCATTCCTTCATCATCTTTCTCACTTGTCTGTGCCACCCCGCTAATAGGTACAAATTGCCCTGAGCCTGCCTCTCAGCCATGCATCATTTAGCAAACATTCTACGGAGAATGCTGTGCCTTGTAACCCAGAGGCAATGTAGTCTAACGGTGAAGGCTGCCAATTCCCATAGCAGATATATTATGGCGGTATTCCTGGATCCTCTCGTTACACCTGGTCCCACCGCACCCGGGGCCTGACTGCTTGCTGGGGCTGCCTGTTGCTGAGGGACTCTGTCATCGTAGGTGTCTGGCCTCCTAAGCCCCTCTAAGGATGTTCCTTTCAGTGCCACAGTACTCCGAGTGGCTCAGCTAGGAATGAGGCTGTGGGTGTCTCACTCTACCTTGCTTTTCCTCTCAGTGATCAATGACTGCACAGCACCAAAACTCCACCCATCCAATACCAGGAAGCCTGTTATTCTTGGGATGGCTCATAAAGCACCAGAGAAGCACAACATAGAAAAAACTATTTTGTGAAAATGATGGAAGATAGAAGGAAACATCGCCATCAGAAAATGCTTGCAATTTCAGTTTTCAGTTAATGGACGAATCTCAGAAATCTCGCTAATTTAGTTGCTTCATATACCGAAAGCAGAAGTGTCTGTTTATGGCAGCAACAGCACTCTGCCTCTCAGGCGTGAAGCGCTGCAAAGCATCTTCAAATGAAGATTCGTTAATAGGTCTTGACAGCAACATGCCAAAGTTTAAGCATAAAGTATTTTAGAGTAAATATTTTTCCAGGACCATTAACATCTTTCCTCAAACTCTAATATCACTTTATAAATATCAGGTTAGTCAGCAAATGAAGGAGTAACATAGTGTGGAAACTCTCAAACGGGCTATACTCCCACACAAGAAGAAAGGAACATCAACAGCAGTGTACGTGGGAAAGGAGCTGTAGAGGACAAAGTGACAGTTAATCCCAGGTAACAGTCACTTAGCAGAATTAATTTGCAATTAATTAATTATTTATTAAAAGCTTTAGATGTCTCTTCCTCGATACGTTGCTACAAACGCTTCTGAAGTTGTGCGTGTGATGTTTCAAAATGAACTGTAACTTTTGTGCAAAAAATAAAAGTATTCATAAGACTCCAATGCAATTATCTAGGAACTCACACACCTTATTATTGAATTCAGTCAGTAAACACAGTTCAATTACTGAGTCCACACTTCAGTAATCACACCTATGCTGAGTAGATTAATTGTAAAAATAGCTAGAGAAAAGGAAATGCCAGATAAATTGAATAAATATTTTACATTAAACACTCAAAAGAGTTGTAGTTTCCCAACAGTTATACATAATAAGGACAGCGTGCATGTTAATTTTATTGAAAGAAAAGGAAGCTGTGTACAGCTCACGCAGTCTGCATGGAAAATTCTGTAGAGATGCAGGTGCAGGCATGCTCTGACTGCCAGGGCATGCGTGGCTGTGATTCACGCTATTAAATCACACCGATATCTCCTCATAGCGGGAAAGGGCAGTGGATGAGGGAGGGGATCAGAGAATAATCACCAGCACTGAATCAGAGCACAGAAAGCTCTGTCCCTGCTTGCTCTTCATGAAGACCCTGCTGTCCATTCCAGCTCTCTGGGATGGGAAAAACTGCTGCTGTCAATATAGGCAGGAGTGACAGATTGTAATTGCTCGCAAAGCACTCTCCTGTGCTCTTTGTCTTTTACAAGCTTGTTAAATTGGATTTTACAATATAAAAAAAATATTCCAAAAATGTTTTCATAGCAACATCCTTCTGTTTAAATCCAATCCATTTCTTGGATCACAGCTTAGATGAATGAGGTCAGCTTCCCAGGAAAAAAAACCCACAAAAAGTACAGCTTTGGACAAAACAGAAATATAATCATATGTCTTTATTTTCAGCAACAGCCAGCGCTAAAACAGAATTAAAATAAGAAAAACATCCCTTGTAATTCCATTCTACTTTGCAAGAAGTCTAATAGAAATTTTTTATAGTGTGATGTAGCCTCAAAACCCAGTTTTGATGACAGTTAACATGTGTTGAAGCGGTATTGTTTATAAGCTTCAGCATTTTAAAAATTGTAACCTTCCACAGCAGGAAAGGTTGGGAATATTGTTAGGTATTCTGGACATGGCCTGAAGAGAGACATGCCTCAGGCAAAACTGATCTCCTTGTCAGTGAGAAGACTTGTTCACATGCTGCAAAGGAAGGTGATAATTTCTGTAAGGAAAGCCACCTGATTCCAGTAATAACCACCCTCACCTGCCAGCCCCCTGACACAACAGCCCTCACACCTCAGAGCTTCAGAGATGATGCCCGCTGTGCCATCACCCTGGCAGCTCTTATACTGTATATCCCAGCGCAGAGGGCTGGCAAAATCTGAACAGCAGCACTTTGCTGTTATTTTGAATGATTTGGCATTCTATACATAAAACAGAGGACGTTATATTGCTTTTTTGTTAACTATTTGGTCTCCACATAACGACAGAAGGAATTTACAGGTTGTTTACAGGATGTTACAGGCCCCTATGAAAGTACATTGCCTAAATGTGTGTATTTGTTTTTGACTTGACACTTTTCATAACTAAAATCAACATTTTTTAAAAGGTTGATCAAAATTTTGCAAATGCAAGTGATCTCCAATATCCTCTAAAGACAACAATTAAGTTTGTTTTCACAGGAGTGAAACTATTTTATAATAAACAAATTAACAGTGTAATGCTCACAACAGCGCTTTAGACAGAAACGGCACAATGGATAATTAATATATATTTTTATCACCAAAATCAAAACGCAACACCACGGAATATACAGTATATCTCATAAAACAAGGCAACCTAAGCTTTTCAGAAGTGTGTTTCATAATTAGATATATCAGCATAAAGCAAATTAATATTTTTTCATTGGAAAATTCATCTCGTGTTTCAGTTTAGAGAGGCACAAAAGTCCATCGCTAATTTATCTGTTCTCCAGCAAAACGCAATTGCAAAAGGAAAAGTTTGCCAGAATAGATACACATTATTGCCCTTTACCTAGAAAAAAACTAATTCCAGAAATCATATAAATTTTTTTATTTTTGTTCAATCTGGTTCAAATTTTTATCCATGGTAGCAGAAGTTTTAGAGAAGAGATAGAAAAAGAAATATACGTACTAGGTACTATGTGTGCCACAACTTGAGAAATTGACTTTTAAAGAAAGACAATAAAATGTATCTGTTATTTTGTCCTGTTTTAATTCTGGATTTTTCTTTCTAATGTGTGTACTGAGAAAGATATACAAATAATCTAAAAGTTCACACAGAATGTCCAAGGGGTTCTCTTTAATTCAAGACCCTAAGCCAGCCTGTACTGTGTAAACTTTCCAAGATAACTGAAGAAATTTAAAGGTACAGAATGACATTGATTTTGACTTCCATTCGGAGTGGAGAGGGGATGGATAAGCTTAATCATCAGGATCATGGCAACTGTGCATAGTTGAGCAATGGCACTCGGAACAAATTCAAGTTAACAATGGGGAACAGTTTCATGGAAGAGGGACATTAAACACCGGACAGATTGTTACTGAACACAAACAGTGATCACACAGAGCTGAAATAACACTCTCTGATTATTGTAATCCATATATTGCATTCTCACAGACATTTCAGATCTCCCAAATGAAGAACTGCTATCAATAGCCATTGAAAGCTGAATTGATAGATACACCATATTCTTCATAGTCTCATTTATATGTAACAGATTTCATTGCCCCATGACGCACAGTTTTTACAACACAGCTATGTGAATAGTTTGTCTAACGTTATGAGCATCCCATTCATCATGGGAGGAAATGTATTTCTCATTAACAAAACGCATTTTGTTCAGTAGTTGAGAGTGCTGCAGAATTTGTATGCAGAGTTCACGGGTCCTCATGTTCCATGTGCTCCAGCCTTGTGTACTTCTGTAGAAATGACAGTTTTTCGTATCCCCATAGAAGGGTGAGGGTATTTCTTTCATGGAAGGAAGGAGTGGTGCAATGCAAATAAAGCTTCCAGAAATGTAATGCATATTCACAATTCTATATGCGGCTGGCAGGCATGGTGGCACCGGGCTGAGCTCCTGGGGTGCTATCTGTTGCATGTTTGCATGTTTTCCCTATGTTTACATGGGATTCCTCCAGGTGCTCCAGCTTCCCCCCACAGTCCAAAGGCATACAGTGAGGTTCAACGGCATCTGGGAAAATTGGCCCTGATGTGATTGTGCATGATGGACTGGACTCCTGTCCAGGGTGTATCCTGCCTTGTGCTCGTTGCTTGCCAGAATAGGCAATCCTTGTGACCCTGTACCGGATAAAGCATTTAGAAAGTGGATGTATTCAATATAAGTGTATTCAATGTGATACCCCCCTTATTTTTGCAAAATAAATTGTCACTATAACAAACTAAAAAAAGAATTAAAAATGCTTGCAATGCTATTACCGTGTAGAAGCTAACATTCTCCCTCCATGTCATTGCTTCAGCATTCAATCATCAAACATTGAAGAATAGTTTCAGATGAGTGATTTTATACTGCATTTGAGTTTACTGGAACCCTTTAATATCCGAGGTAGTCAATTGATTTAAATAGTCAATGGTTTCAGCAAGACTGAAAGGTAACACAATCCAAAGCCAAATTAACTGAGGGACTGGATTGTACATGAATGTGGTCTCCTCATGGTGTATTTCATTGGCAAAGAAAGCTGGATATTATGGTAATTTTCGCTTTGGCAGAGTATAGAAATGTACAAGTAGTGAAAACCAGTGGCATCATTCGGACTATCCATCTCATTTAGTAGATAAAAGTAAAGAATTGTACATCAAAAAGACATGATCTGAGGTTCTTGTCAAATACTAAGATTTCATCCAGTTGTTTTACAAAGGATGCCAAAGTACTGCCTGCAACCAAATTTATAAACGAGAGAAGGTCACATATCAAACTGTGGAAATGTTTAATCTGATAAGCAAGATCTTAAATATTGAGAGAAAATAAAACGAACTGGAATTTGAAACTCCTGACATGGTGCCCTCTTAGAAGACAGAGACTTTGATATTATACACTGTATAGTCTGAGAGGATATTCTTAGTTTGGGAGACTTACACTTTAAAGTTCTGTTTTTTGTTTTTCCCTGTCCTCTCTGCAAAGTTCTCTGTCTGAGGTTGTCCCTGGATCATCAAGTCCTCTCCTGACAACAGTCAGTGTCTGGTCACACAATCCAAAACGGACTTTAAAACACTACTAAATTTGCAAAGTGAGAAGTCATTGAACTTAGTGCTCTCACTGGAAGATCAGCTGGGAACAACTAATCATCACTGCAAGTCCCAATGTAGTAAGACAAAGTTGTTAGACAATGACAGTATTTGTACAGGTTATCATTCCTATTTTTTCCTCAACATGATATAGTATAATAAGTTTAGCAGTTTTAGGAAGGATTTTATCATACATCTGTTCTTCTCTATGCTGCAGTCTGTAATTATTTCACTCATGATTGCCTTATATTAATTAGTAGAGACAGAAAATAGGAGCATTGTACAATAAAGGTCTTTTCACCTAATTTGGGAAACAATAAGCCTGCAGAAGTAAGGCAGTGTTGGGGAAGTTCACCAGCTGGCGAGGGTGAAAATGAGATTACAGAATTACAAATGCTCCAATCACAGCTCATAAATATTTCATAATGCAAAATCAAAATGACGAGCTGCCACCGCACACAGAGATAATTGTTTAATTAATATCCCATCAACTTAATGGAAAGTCAAGATAGGTTCCTTAATCCCTTTGCTCCACCTTGGATTGAGAAGAATGGTCTTGAACAGTGATGAAATCATAGACAGTGGCCACTTTATAATTGGAATAAATGTCATAAATGGTATTTAGTCAATAATAAAAGACTATGAACGTGCTGTCTGACTGTGATGATTTACCTCTCTTTTCATTATAATAGAAAGAAACAAAATTCATCTCCTACAACTCTGTTCTAGTATAACAGAGTAAAAAAATGGATGAAAGTGTAAAAAACCTGACAAACCTGATAAACTTGGAAGAGTGTTATGCATTCAGCTGTACAGTATATACTGTACTGTATTGTAGATGTGTTGTGGAAACCTCTGCACTTAGCAATTTTATTAATGTCTGTGATACAAATTTTTATTCAGCATGTGGTTTATCTCATTTTCTTCAATGATAAAGGAAGTCAGTCTGGGGTAGAGATCAAAACAGAATCACCAGCACTACAGGCAGGTTCATTTCAATATTGCCTAAAGACCCAGCATGCCTGGTAAAGCAGTAACTGGCTGGACCTTAAAGCCTGTAAAGAGCAAACTCAGTGACTCAGTGACTGCCAGGCATCAGTCAAAGCAATCTGGTGTCACAACACCAATGTCACATGAGCAGTTTGTTCTTGCCTGAATTCAATCTATTCTTAGGTATCACTCAGCCCTTGAATGTGTGACCCAGTCCAGTCTTAGTTATGTTACCTATAACTGGTTCACACCGAATGAGCCTGTTACAGTCAGACTTGCTGCTTCACCAGAGTTCCTGTACCCTAGACAGACCTGTGGCTGTTGACATAGTCTTCAATTGGCTCCAGCTGAAATGCTGCTCTGTGGACGAGACTTTCCCACAATACAGCAATGTACACTATGCACATGATGCAGTTTTAGAACAGAATATTTGGGAGGAGGTTTATTTCTCATCTCGCTCACTTCCTCTCTTCCTATGCATAAATATCTCACCTTCCGAGCACCGCTTTGTGCATCTTTTCCTGCACTCGATACTTGCTCTTTCCAGAGCAAACCGTGGGAATCCTCGGGAAGAGTGGGAATATCACGGTCTGGTCACAGGAATCCAATCTTCTTCAGATGGCTCTGTTTTCAAGGATGTCCTTTCAGCACAGGAAAAGGAAAAGAGCAGTGCAATCTGTATGGAATGTGCACAAAACCACCAAATAGTTCGGCATCCACAATTCATGGGGAGAAACATACAAAGGCTGCTCATCTGTACTTGTAGCTGGCTTGCTGAACATTCCATAATATACTGCACTGTTGATAAAAGTCCAAAATGTAATTATTTACATTGTAACTAATGAAATTACAGTTGGGGGCAAGACATGAAACCTTTCTTGGCTGGTTCTTTCAAATAAGTTAGTTCAGCAGCAGGTAAGGGATTTAGAGAGGGTGCAATTCAGAGCCTGTGACCATTCTGAATTGCTGTGCAGAGCTATTTACAGTAATTTGTGTTATCATGGGTGGCAATTGTAATTTGTGACATCTTTAGTGTCCTGTTCTTTCTCAACCAGCAGGCACCACTTCTTAAGAGAACTGACCCACAGGAGATAAAATGCACCAGGTTAATTTCTATTCAAGGCAACAGAACGATTATTATGCTCTTTTAGATTATAATTCTACTGCATACTGTAACTACTATCTACTGCCTAGTGTAACTACTATGCATACCACACCATTTAGACAGATTGTCCCTTCATTAACTGCAGGTGTTCCTATTGATTTTAATGAAAATGAGGGGAGTGCAGGCAGAACAGGTATTTTCAGCAGAGCTTGTGAGATTAAATCTAATGGTCTGCAGCACTCCCAATCTGACCTGGATGGTCAACTTCAAATGCGTCTGACAACATGGGTATGATCATTGACAGCAAATTCTTTGAACGTAAACTATTTATTCTAGTTTGGGGTGGCTTCCCAGTTCTCTGTTGGAGAAAGGGGGAGTGAACAGGGATGATACACCTACCCCAAGTGAATGATCACCGTAGAACCTCTTCCGGTCTCCTATACATATATAGCTTGCTGCTCGAGCATCTTGTGTTTCTTGTCAGGTTGTTATTTCTTCAGCCATGTGAGCTACGGAATATAAAAATTCAATATTTATCCTAATAAACTTCACCATTGTGTAACATTTATTAGGGCCTGACCAAACTACTGAAAGTATTGAAACAAGGTGAAGATGTGTGTCTTATTATAGAGCTTGATGTCTGTTTTATTCATGTTTGAGATGAAGAAACTCATTTAAGAAAAAGAGTTGCTGATATGGAACCCTGTCTTTCACAGCCTACCGACATTTGCTGTTCCTTATAGGGCTCTGATGCTGCTGTGTCTGAATGCCCTATCAGTGAACTGCATAGCCTGACTATCATGTTGGCATGTTATCAATCAACTGGATTCCCATTTCGTCATACCTCTATACCAAGAACCTGAAATTGAATTTCTAGACAAATGTTTTCCTAAAGTGTTATAAAATGGAAAGAGTCCTTAGTGTGAACTATTGATATAGTATTGATGTTATGGATGAATAAGGAGGTTTCACTTTTTGACATATTTCTTTTATGAGTCTTCAATAAAAGTGGAATTTTCTGCATCCTGACATGACCTACGTCTACACAGAGAACCTCAAGTATGGGATGCAGTTCAGATCCATTTTCTTTTCAGTGATGTGTCTAACACATTTCACCAAGAGCCTACATCATCTTGCACAATAAGAAAAACAACAATGCATGACAATTGTGTATTACCTATAATAACAGTTTTACAGTGATTTTAATTCATGAAGCAGCAATCAAAGATTATACACGTGGACCCGTTCTTAAATATTATTATCTGTTTCTACATGCATTGTTAATTTTTGACAATGTGTAATTTATGAGAATCAAATAATTGAATGTAGAACAGGAATAATAAACATGCCAGATGCCCACGCATCAGTGATTCCATAGTGACTAACTGTATGAGACAGTTCTATTGGTCTCTTCAAAAGGGCTGTCATCTCCTGTCTGTTGCTGCTGAACATTAAGAAGATATGAGGTGGGATAATAATTCGTCCAGCGGACGAGTAACCCTGCCAGATCGTTATCCAACAGGACTGGGTAATGGGACGGCAGTCTCCTGGGAGAGGTGGGGCAGTTTCAGTTAGGGAGATCAGGATGTTTCCCAGCTTGGGTTTTTGATTTGGGTATTACCCTCAGGACATTCATAATTGCTTTTCTGGTTTACTGACAACTTTTTGCAGTTTTGTTGAAGTGAAAAGAGGATTAATGCATTAAAAGTCAGAGATTAGTATACAGATGAATATGGATCCTTGTAAAATAAAGGTTCGCTTCTAAATTATTGCTGCCAAAAGGACTGGTCCCTTGTGGTGACTTCCATTTCTCTTTTCACTCTTCCACTCTCATGATTTTTTATCTCTCTTTTCTCTGTTGGAGAAAGTGTCTTGGTGTGAAAATTACACATTCATACTGCTTTGTATCTTTTCTCATAGCAGATCCTCACCATAATTAATTAAAAGAAAGACCGGAATCAGAGACAAAGAAGGCCAAATAGACAAAAGTGTCAAAACAAGCAGATGTCTACCATGAGCAGTTCTCAAGAGTTGATGAAACATTGTGGCATGGTGAAAAGTGAATGACAGTAACTGACACATTGCTGAGGCAAACAAACAATTCTACATAATAAATTGTTTGAAAAAATGATTGGATGTACTCCTATAAAAGTGAGTGTGTACAGGCCAAAATGTTGATGTTGTAGTTTAGCTTAATAGGGCACTCTTTAGCTGCAGGTCATTAAAATATCAACATGTATCATATATATTACCTAAAAATTGAATTTGACATATGCAGTGGAAAGAGAAAGGCTGGGGAATTTCTTTGATATAGTGTACGTACAGTAGTCCACATTTTTATTACAGAATTTCTTTCACACATGACGTCATACATAGTGAGAAAGCAAACATAAATAGTATTTTTTTCTAGCTTAAAAAATGTTTACAAGCCTGTTTTGACCTTTTAAGCAACATACATTTGGCAGTGTTACCTCAATCAATAGGCAGGTCAAGTGCGCTCTTTATAGTGACCAGAAAGATAGGGTTATTTTGGGGAAACATTTACATGGTAGGAGCAGAGAGGCATCATCAATCAAAGTCTTTCATTGACTATCTCTATCAGGAGTTGATAAACCTCCATACACGTGTGGACCCAGGTTTAAAGACTCTTTCCAATGCCTAAGCACTGGAAAGTGTATTACTGTACAGCTTGTTGTCCCACTAATATCAAAAAGATTGCACAGACAATGACTGAACACGTTCTCACAACCAGCATGCTGAAAAGCATGTCATTAGTGAAACTCATATTGGAGGCAAGTCATTGCTAACCAATCACAGTGAGCAGGGTATAAAACAGTACCTTCATAAATGTGAAGTGTTCTGTAGTATTCTTATAGTAGCTCCTGTTGACATATATCAAGACAGGCATAAACATCAGAACATAAGACACATCTTTTTTGCTGCAGGTGGAATTCACAGTAACTAAATATAACAGCATGAGCAGTAAGAGCAGTGTTTCTAGGCTGTGAGTGGGGCTTTCTGCTGCGTAGGCAACAGGGTAGTTTACTGAGTCAGATATTGAAATAAATAAGTTGTATTTTACCTGAGACCACAGCTGTGCCCACAGTCACATTATAGTATCCAGTGCTCTGTCCTTTGTGCTTGTTAACCTAATTTAATGCCACTCCTGCCCTGGCAGAATGCACCACTAAGTTCCACTGTAGTGACAAAGATACATAACCCTAACAGATATTTAATTAGTGGTTTTAAAATCAATGCCTTATTTTTCTATTTCAGTATAATACATCAGCTCCCTACTTTCCAGGCTGTCTACTATCAGAAACCACAGGCTCTGCCTTTTTCTGTTTTGTCTTTCTCTGACGTACAAAAATATGTTAGATAGGCTTTTAAACACAAGCATACCCTCTGTCTGTATTTAATATCTGTATCTGTTGGCCTTGATTAACTACTGTTACAGGAGATGGAACTCTGTTTTGTTTCAAATAATTTGGTGATGATTTTAGATCTTTTTTAATTTTAAAATTTTAGAACTAATCTGGTGAAGAATTCCCACAGGAGAAGCTTGTTTTTATTTTATTTTAGGGTGTGTGATACAAACTTGCAAAGACAGATTTCTGAAAAGCAGGTTGTTGAAATAATAACAGGCAGAGGGATGAAATGCCCTCATATCTCTTTGTGTTCAGTCTGTAAGGTGTAAGTCAGAGTTTTAGAGGTTATACTTCCACTGATTTACCAATCTTTGTTCAGACCTCCACCCATCAGCAGCCACACTATAGAACATAATCTGCTGCTATTCCAAAAAGAGCAACTATTTCTGCATTTATAGACAGAGGTTGGCAGCAGTGGGAGTTGTGATAAAAGCAAGTGTAATTAAATTTCCCTGCCTCCTCCTTTTCTGTAATTACAGAGCCATCAGTGGGAAGAATAGAGAGAGCCAGAGAAAGAAGAGAGGAAATAAATCTGAAATCAAAACAGACAATTTAGTGATGTCCATTGCTCCAGTGGGGCTTTTTTTTCTTAATGTCTTATTAATCTATCTGGTCAGCAAAAGTCTTGCATCCTATTAATTTTATCCAGAGAACTTGGAAAGTCAAAGTAATTAGGTTATTATTCTCCTATTGATGACATTCTGCATTGTCTTTAAGGGTGTGTGGGTGGGCTTTGGCTTTAATGATTCTAGAGGTCATATGAAAATGCGAGTCATTACTGCCAGACTTTTGCCACAGTCTCGCCAGAATATTCTGAATGATGCAGTTGAATGCTACATGATTCAGTGTATGAAAAAAAAATCTGTTTAATTACGAGTCTTCTGGAATTTTAAGTATGCAAGTGTCTTGTAGAGTAAAGAAGGTAGTGCATGCACATCTAAACAAAATGTACCACATTAAGCTTTGGTACTTTACCAGCCATTGATTCTTTAGTTTATACATATTTGTGAATGAACAATAAGTTGTTTCTTATCCACAAATATGTAAAAACAGCTTGTGTTTGACACAATTTAACAGTTAAACATTGAAAGCTTTATTTTGCTTATTTAATGTTATATAAGATATTAAGTCTTTTCCTCCATGCATGTGTCTGACTATTTGGTAACAGACTCAGACTGACATACATTTTTCTATCACTTTTGATATTTTAAATGTCAGATAAATCACAGTATTCATTGCTTTTTTTTCCCCCTGACTGAGGAGATTAAGGTTCTTTTACTCTGCGGACATCACTCATCACAGCTTGTTGCTTCTGGGTTTGTCAAGACTTTCTGGAGTTGTCAAAATCTGTAAAACGATGCTAAGTTTAACCCAGTATCAGCAGATATTAATGCAGCTGTCCAGTGACATACAAATACACAAAAATAATAAGGGTTCACTTTTTAAAATTGATTTAAATGAACATTTGAAAATCCATTTGTGATGCAATAACAGATTAATTTCCCTCTGTATTTATATCTTTTAAACAGCTCATAAAGTTTTTCAGTGATTGGGATAAATACACAAAGCTATCCACAAAGGTAAAAAAGTGCACCTGATTATACTTGCCAGTGTTATGAACCCAGATGAAAAAACACACTGGTCTCTTGGCTGCCGTGTCAGTGATGACAGATGAAATTTAGTTCCCATTCGGGTATTGGTGCCATTTATATCTTCCCTCACAAACCAAGGCTATAAAAAAGGAGAAAAAATGTCTCCAGTGAATTATTACACACTATTTATAAACCATTAAGTGCCATAAACCTGAAATCTATTAGCTAAGGCACAATCACTAACAACAGGAGAGAATTAATTTAAGAAATAAGTTGGCACACATTGATATTATTAATTTCTATTCAGTAACCTCCACTTTACAGCACTATTATAAATTAAACTGAGCATGTGCCATATGAGCCTGCCTTTGTGAGAAACAGAGGAATAAGGCAGATGCTTGTAGATAGTGTGCATGTTGGAGGGCGTCTCCAGTTCTTTGCTTCATTGTGATTTGAGATTTTCAGGCTCCTCTTCCCAT